GGATCTTCTTTCAATGCGCAGTAGTGAACGCGACCTCTATCGGCAGCCAGACGACTCGCACGCTGTTCCAGAGAGCACAGCAAAAGATTTATTAAAGAATATATATGCCTATGGATCTACTCTCTCATACATTATTAATATTTTTCTGTATCTATTTCTAATTGATTTGGGGATGAAATAATATTCGAAACGTGACCTGGATTAAAGTATTCCTGAAATCACACGGTCTCAGCGTCTGGAAAGATAAAATTTAGGTTATGTGTCAAGAAAAAAAAATGTATTCAACCTATCTACACCCTGTATAAGGCAAAAAAGTCCTTAACTTTTAACGGTGATATATTTTCTCTCATACACCGTGATAACTTCTGGCGAAATAGAGTGACACATATTTCTGGAAACTTTTTAATCAGGAAACTCGGCCGACATTACGTGTCCGATAACTTTCCCAGCCTTCGAAGCTGGAACGACTGTTTAAAAAAGTCGATTCGTTTTTGTTCGGACCCAAGTTTGACAGAGCATTCGCATAAATATGAACTGACTCACCAATAACCAGTCCCCAGAAAATAAAATGGTATTAAATAAATTACGAATATGAATAAAAATATTAAATTAGAATTTTCGCTATCATTTTTTTTTTAATGTAGATTGTTATGGGAGTAGTGTGTGCCACTTTCAGGTTGGACTAATAGTAATAAAAACTCATATCAATAATATTAAATAATACATTAGAAAATATTAATTCATTTTAAAATACGAGGCATGTTTTTTAAGTAAGTACCGTTTTGGAATTAAAAAAAACGTGCAAAGATATCGCAATAATTTTATTTTTACATGAAAGCCTGTACCTTAATCTGCTTTTCTACATAATTTCCGTGAATATTGAGGCACTTGTCATAACGTGGCACCAATTTTTCAATACCCTCCTCATAAGACGCTGACCGCCCAGGTGTTTCTTCAGGTGCAGGAATAAATGGTAGTCAATGGGCGCCAGATCAGGGCTGTATGGAGGATGATCTAGAGTTTCCCATTTAAAAGATTTGATGAGATCTTTGGTCCGATTAGCCACATGTCGACGGGCATTGTCATGCAGCAAAACAATACCCTTACTCAACTTGCCACGTCTTTTGTTTTGGATTGCACGGCGCAGATTGTTCAATGTCTCACAATAAGATGCTGCCTTGACTGTCTCATTACGAGGCAGAAACTCCACTAGCAATACTCCTTTTCTGTCCCAAAAAACTGCACATGATTCTCCGGGCAGAAATTGTTTGCTTAAACTTCACTGTTTTGGGTGATGATGAATGTCGCCATTCCATGGACTGTTGTTTCGATTCTGGTGTTTCGTAGGCCACCCATGTTTCGTCACCAGTAACAATTTTGTCTAAAAAATCTTCACCTTCATTGTGGTACTGCTCAAGGAAAGTCAATGCACTGCCTAAACGTTGGGTTTTGTGCAAATCCATCAACATTTTCGGAACCCAACGTGAACACAATTTCCGGTAATTCAAGTTCTCGGTCACAATGCGATACAAAACACTACGAGAACATTGAGGAAAGTAGTCGCACAATGATGAAATTGTAAAGCGTCTGTTTTCTTTCACCTCTTTGTCCACTTTCTGCACCGAATCTTCATTAACGACCGAAGGACGCCCACTCCGTTCTTCATCATGCACATTTGTGCGGCCATCTTTAAATGCTCTCACCCTTTTCCTTACCATTCCATCACTCATAATGGTTTGTCCGTAAACTTCACAGATCTCACGATGAATATCGATCGGTTTTACGCCTTTAGCACTAAGAAATCGTATGACAGCCCGTACTTCACAATCGGCGGGGCTCACGATTGTCGGAGGCATCTTAAACACTCAATAAACAACGTATACAATGAAGAATCAGGCTGTACTGGCGTCTGTGCATAGACAAGAGATGTAGGTAACCAGCGCGCATGCGCGGAATCGCAAAACGGTACTTACTTAAAAAACATGCCTCGTATATAATTTATTAATTTTATTTTAATTTTATTAATTGTGATTAATAAAATTGCCTTTATCTCATCAAGGAAGCGGAATTCGACAAAATATCAAGAGATAACTTTTAATTGGCATTAAACGGCCTACGTAATCTTGATCAAACGAAAAAAATGTCATGTTTTTCTTTTAAAAAATATTACAGTTTTCTTTTAAAAAATATTTTACGTGAGTAGTACTACACTCTGTATATGTAAAAAACGACATTTTTAGGAAAACAATTTTTTGATTATGGGTGGCTGCAACGACGTCCCGTAATCCTGCTGTTAAAACATAACAGCTTTGTTATGTTTTAACAGCAGGACAGCAAGGACGTCGTTGCAGCCACCTAAAATTAATCATAACATATTTAAACTAACAAAGTATATTAAATAAAACAATATTAGAAACGCTTTATAAGTGACAGCTGGCCACTAATTATTTTCAAAAAAGTCGTACACGTTTTATTAATTTTTATTTCATTTTTTAATTAAGTCTGTAAAAAATAAAGTTTTTAAATATGGCAGGCAATCCAGATTTATTTTTTAAAATTTTATTTGAATTTAGTTAACATTCATTTACTTTACGAAAAAGCGAAAAAATATGCAGGTAATTTGCTTTCATTGGTAGTGATCTCCTTTCGTATAATTCTATTATTCTATTCCTATTTATTTTTAAGAAAAAAATTAACATCTAACCCAACGTTTATAAAACAAACTGCCCTTTATTTTTACCAGTAAATCACCCCTCAATTTTTTGCACTTGTTTATTTAAACACCCTGTATAAAGGGTAAAGGACTCACTCTTGGCTGGCTTTACATCGCCAGCCAAGGTAAGAATAGCAGATCCGCGCGCAAATCGCCAAGAGATATAATACGCAGTCTCATCGAGATCGATACCACTGGCTTCCTTTACTAACGAAAAAAACGTATTTAGCGGCTCATACATATGATTTCTTACTTTAAAATACTCGTGTATTTGAAAAGAGCACTCATTACATACCTCCTGTTGTTTCCTAGCTTACTCGTATAATTTTTATACTATTATAGGCCCTAGCCTGTCATAATTTTTATCTTAATATCTTTTGTCAGAGAAAAGATAGAAAGTAGAGTCTGTCCAACGCGGTCCAATGACAAGATCCTTGACAGTGATAGTTGTGTCTGTCATTTTAATTTCAAAGTAGTTTATTTTATTTCACAAAGAATTATAAGTTGGTGCAACTGGAACGAATAGCAGGAAATTAATATATTTAAGATTTGACTGATAAGCGATTACTTCAAAATATTGTGAAAAAAACTGTATAAAACTGAAAAAATGTAATCGAGTTATTTTATTTAAAAAAAAACGGTAGGGTTAATACAAAATAAACAAGAACAAAATAACTTTAATCTTATATTTTTTAAACCAGTACCTTTAGACATTATTTTTCTTCAGTACTAAAATTCATTATTTTCCTATCGTGTGATAATTTACAGTTACTCCAGTAGTATATGTTTAGTACGATCCTTGTAACATATACGAGATGCACTTATCTACGATGAGATGGTATACAAACTTTATTTATGGTAACTTTATTGATGAGGTATAAGACTTTCTGCCTGGGCAGCGAGTATTAATTATAAACTGTGCTCTGGGTCTACAGTTTTTTAATTTTCCCTCAATTTTTCATCCACTTGACTTCAAAAGACACAATACACACGTAATAACACGAATCAAAATGTATCATCTTCCAAAACGCAGATATTTGACATAAGTTGACACAAAATTATAACGTATAATTTGGCAAGACTTTGACAAGCCTTAAAAATCTAAAAGCGAGTTCATACGCATCGGCGTCCGTTTGTCGTTCATCGTTCCGTCAAACCAATAAAATTGAAATATGATCTGTCATTTTTGAAATAAACCAATAAAACTGGTTAAAAAAACAAGAGACGACGTATGACGGATTTATATTTAAACCCATCCATAGTTAACTTAAAAAATATTAGAAACTTTTTTTAATAAAATAAATAGATTGGTATGGGACGTCATCTGCTTTTCTTTTGCCATCGTTTACGCTGACTTTTTGGTAATGCTCTTTGGAAATGTTGTTAATTACATTTTTGTGCATTATCTGTTACCTATAATCCTGTAATAATGTCAAACAGCGCCCTCTAGCTATCATTGTAAAATCTATGGAGACAAAGTTTGTACTGCAAATTATTGAAAAAAAATGGAGCTTAGGTTAAACTTTCCCCACCACTTTATTTTATATTATATATTATATGAGTTAAATTTAAATCTACTAATAGTAAACACAAGAAACTGCAGTAATGATTCCACTGGTTAAAATTATCTAAAAATCTTGAGAAAAAATCGCATAAAAAACAATATCGTTTTTATCGATCACTTGGGATATGAAAGAAAGCTTTTATCAGCTAATTTTCACAGCTTCAGGATAAACCAAACAATTAATCTAACTTTTTCTTTTTACCTCCCATTCCTCTAAACGAAATAAAATAAATCCCAGCCTATTTGAGGTAACACCATAAATCTCTAAATAGAACAAAAAACTATTGAGTTAACTTGACGAATGAACGGGATATAGCAATCGAACACAAGCATCGAAAACTTTTCGGTTATTCTTTGTTGTTTTTAAAGAAAAGGAAACAATGTTTTTTGCAAAAGTTCTCTTAAGGCTGTTATCTTAATTGAATTTTAGAATGAAGGTTTACAACTCAGTTAGATTGAGGATTTCTATAAAATCAGAGTAATAATCCTATTTTTATTGAAATCAACAATATTGTTAATGGCATTATTGGATTTTGTAGATATAAGATGATGAAACGACGTCAATGGCGTTTGAATTATGAATTATATTACGGGTAATTCTGTCAGACTGTAAATGTAATAAAAAAACAAACTAAACTGTTTGTACAGTTACATCAAATTAATTTATATAGTTATTTTAATGGTTTATGTATTTCTATGCGACTAATATTAGCTTTGTTTCAGGATAACTCGGTGGGTCGCCACCACTGCCGCCTGACGTCAGAGCGGTTCGCGTCCTTGACCAGCCTCGGCCGTAATCGCCTCCGCTTCGGCTAGCGTCGCACTAAGACGGGACAGTGGCGGCGCCAAGGGCAAGACGACGTAAGGCGGGGCCAGTGACGGCTCGACCGACACAAACGGGATGCACGCCAATGTGCATGCCGACAGGTAATGTTATTTATTCCTATAATATTTTAAGGATAAGTAATCAACCTAATCTGTTGATGATGCCAAGTCTCAAACACATGCTAAATTGCAATTGAATATTACAACCGGTGACTGATACTCTCCCAAAATTTTCTTTTAATACAAACTGTTAATCTCCTTAGAACTTTCCCTTTGTACCGGGTGTTTTCCCTTTTTTTTCAACAGAAAATTCTAGTTTCTTCTTTTTTTTCCAGAAGTTCATGGCGGCTGCCACCGGACGAGACCCTGCAAGTGGCCGATCCCAAGGCCAAAAAGGCCGAGGTAGGTGACGAAGAGGTCAGTACTCCTGCCCCTTTGGGGCACATGGGCCAATTACGATGCACCATGCAATTGGAAACATTATTAATTAACTATCTTTAAACCTATTTTCTTGTCTTGAGTTGGTTACCAAATTCTAGTTCCAGAATTTTTAGTTTCCTAGTTTTCACATTTCGGTAGTTTTTGAGACAGCATATATATCTATTATGGTCATCTAGTTTATCTCAAGAAGGTGTGTGGTAAAGGGTACCATCTAAAAATGAAAACTTGTAGTCATTTCCGGTGAAACAGGAAGTGACCGAAAACAATTGAATACATCAGTCAATCCTAATTTATGTCTATATATACTAACATACCAAATTCTTAACGCACAATGAGGGTAAAAATTCAAGGCCGTGATAAACCACGGTTTTGACACGACATGACTTTGACCATACTTTGACGCACGAGCTAGCGAGAAAAAAAAGTGGTAAGGATCGTGCAAACACTAAAAACCAAGAAGCATATATGTAACATCTATTATAAAACATCTTTGTATTATTGAGGCATTAGAGAAAAACCTTTGTGTCAAATTAACTGATATACACGCGTTATATCAAAGAAAATAAATTTAACATATTTTTTCTTCTTTTCTAAAACAAATACCAATAAAATCCGTCAAACCTAATAGAAGTATCTTTAACAAGAAATTCTTCTACACAATTTTCTGTTCAAAATTTAAACAAGAAACTAGACAACAAAACGTTTTAGAGCTGATTTTATTTCCCGAAAAAAGCTTAATGCCAATATCGTCGACGGCAATTCCATTTTTACCCGAATTTATAGTTTCCCTGAAGGATCTTATTACGGCGAAGTGGAAATTTTGTTATCAGCGAAAAACGGGTACGTAGGAAAAGTCCAATCTTCAGTTTTGAAAAGCTTATTGTAACGCTATTTGCAATTTTCAAACTTCGTAATATATAGCTTATTTTTTTCTATTTTTTCGAGCCTTAAATAAGTACAACTCTGAAGTTTCCTCGCAATTTTTTTTTTGAAAATTTCGAATTTTTTGAAAAAAAAATTATGTAAAAAACATAATATCTTGATAATATAGCAACATAGGTTCTAGAATAAGCTAGTAGCTATTACGCTGGTAGCTAGTTGCGCCGGCAGCTAGTAGCTAGTAGCTAGTGGTAGTATTGTTACGTTTTTCGTCGGTTCCGTGTGGCTAGAAAGTCACAATTAACAAACAATAACGATTAAAAAGACTTAAAGAACTATATACAAACTATTTATAACTATTTATCTAGAAAGAATTTATTTTAGATTTATAGCGACAAATGTAGTCGTCTATTTATTTCTGTCCTCTTCAGGCCCCAGCCGTCGGATTATATACCCACAGCTAAAGAGTTCTCGAATAATCCATAGATCATTAGGTGCATAGAGAAGGTTTCGAATGTTCTCGTATGTACTACTCCATTCCAGTGGAACTTGATGGTTCTCGAACGTTCGAATGAATCATTACAGAGTCTATTCTTTAATGCGATATTAAGGTCATATGGGGGCGGGACATATAGTTAGGTTAGGTCGAGTCCACACGGATCCGCAACAGTATAATAAAATAAAAATCTACTCTTTAAATTATAGTTAAGAGAATGTGCAATTTTTTTCAATATCTTTGGTGATATTACAAGAAAATTATGTATAAAACTGACAATCATGTGTTCACAAATTGTGATAAAATAAATGAAGTGTAGAAAAGATAAATTTTCTAAAAAATACTTTTCAAATACTTTACTGTATGTCTATTTTCTTATCGATTTTGAAAAAAAAACATTTCTCAAATTAATAATAATTTAAAATTACTTTTTAGAACACCAACACCTTTTTGAGATATGACCTGTTCATCCATTTTAGATTTTTTTTAGTTTTTGAAATTCCCTTTTTTGACAAATGCATCCGGAATGGTCTAGTGGTATGTTAAAGAATGAGTACTGACTATAATTTTAGTATATTTCCCGCTAATTTTAACAGTAGAATAGTTATTTAGATTAGAAGTTCCACTCACTTTGTACAAAATCAAATTTAGTATTTTATTAGTGTTTTAAAAGTAATATGAGTTAGTTAGTTTTGATTTTGACTTTGTACATTGCTTGGCGCAGAAAAGATGGTTTATTTTAAAAGAACATTTTACATTTTCGGTTTATTTGAATATTTCTTCTTCATAATTCAAAACATTTATAAAATATATATTTTTTTTAAATAGAAAAAAGAAAATTAAATACTCAATTTAAAAAATGCAAAAGTGTATCGTTATTATATTAAAAATACTGCGTTCTGGTTGGTTGACTTGCATTTCTAAAAGTCCCATTCGATTTTTGTATTATTACTGATGAAGTTTTCCTATATACAGGGTGCTCCAGAAATAAGTGCAATTATTTTAAGGGGTGGGGTGGTAGATCTTGCCAGAAGAAACATATTTTCTCTTTACTATTTTTAAATCAAATTAATAACAACTGAGTTCTCTTCAAAAAATACTATATGGGTATTTCATCACTGCAAAAAAATCTACAAAATAAAATAGTTATTTTTTGCACACACTGCTAAACAGTTTGCTTTACGTTTCGAAAAGTTTATCTCTTTCCATCGTCGGAAGCAAAAAAGTACAAAGAATAAAGAAAAAACTATTTAAAATATTTAAATTCAACTATTCGAGAAGATAAGTTTTTATAGATAAACAGATATTAAAAGATACAGAGTATCTTTTAGAAATATTTTTAAATTGTAGCTCTAATAGCCCTTCAACGAACTCAAAACTTACAATTTATAAAAATTTAATCGTTTAGCTACAATACTCCGTGTCGTATGTGGTGAACAACCCTGTATACTCAACGCTAACTTAAATAATTCTTCTGTTGATCCGTAGTCCCGATCCAGAACTGTGTATTACTTGGCCCAAATAGACATATTCTTCTACTCTTTCCAGTGATATTATTATTAGAATGTATTTTTTGTCCACTACGGCAAACATTATAATATTATTAATTATACCATTCAAAATTATAATTTTTTGTGCGTTTACGTTAAGCTTCAATTGGAAAAGAGCGATTGTGACTGAAATTTTTATCGTTTTTGTCGGTTATTACAAAAATTGGAATCAATTTCCTGCCAGGGTGCTAAGAATAGTGAAGTAGATAAATTTAATCCTCGGAATGGGTGCGGGTTTTAAATGAACCCCGTGCCTCCCTTAAAGATTCTTCTGGCGTTCCAAAAATAGTCCTTTTGTCGTCTAATAAATTTTAAAAAGTGTGTGCATTGATCTCGGCCGAAGCTCTGAAAGCAGTGAAAAACCGAATCGGATAGAAGACAGGACCGGATTCGGGCTTTTTGTGTGGTATTAATTAAAAGATTAATGCCAAAAATTCATTATTTTATACATGGAGTCAATACAATCCTTAATGATGATTTTTTTTTCTAATTTGTTGAAGTCTAAGACAAGAAAAAATATTATGATCATGATTCGAAAAGCCGATTTTTAGCGGAGGAAAGAAAATTACAACCTTTATTTTTTTAACCTTTGTGAAATATGTCATTTACTAAAAATCGTTAGAAAATGTATTTTATACTTCTTTACACTCAGGAATTTTTTGAAGTGGTGGAACAATATGAAAAAATTTAAAAACTATTTTTTTTCTAAAATCTTATGAAATTATTAATGGGTTAATTGCATTTTAATACATACAATGACATCAACAATGAAGACTAGTTTATTGTTAGGTGACCTAAATAAGCAAAACTTTAAGGGATTATGATTGCTGGTTACTGAAAATCCCAGTTGATGGCGTTATAATGCGCCATCGCCAGCTTGACGCGAATTTTTCAAAAACTCAGTCTTTACGTAATCATTGCGTAGCAATATGATTGAAAATGTGTAATAAGCAATATCATTCTGAATTTGAAGTAAAAAAAATATTTTCTACCCACTTTTTGAACTAAAAAAATGTAAGTTAGATAAAACAGAAGATTTTAGAAAAAAATTAGTTTTTAATTTTTTTCATATTGTTCCACCACTTCAAAAAAATCTAAAAAGTGCAAAGGAGTATAAAAGACATTTTCTGACGATTTTTAGTGAGTCTCGCGAAGGTTAAAAAAATGAGAAATAGAATCGAAAACGAATACCAAGAAATAGAAGCCGAAGAACAAGCAGGATTTAGAGCCGGAAGATCGACGGTGGACCACTTATTTACAGTTACTCAAGTAATAAGTAAAAAGAGCAATCTAAACCAAGAGCTACATCTTGTGTTCGTGGACCTGCGACAGCGTTCCCCTTGTGAGACTTTGGGAAGCTATAAAAAAAAACAATATAAATGTAGAGCTAATAAAAGTAGTAAAATAATTATATAGACAAACAAAAACTAGAGAATAAAAGTCGGCAAAAAGTTAACAACAGGATTTAATGGAACCAAAAGTCTGAAACAAGGGTGCTGTATTTCACCAACACTGTTCAAGATATATCTCGAACAAGTTCTCAAAGTTTGGAAGCAAAAATTTAGAAATATGGGGGTACCCATAGGGGATAACATGCTCTCCACGCTTTGCTTCGCGGACGATCAGGTGATCATAGCACAAGATTACGATGACATAAATTATATGACACGTAAGCTTATAGAAGAATATCAGAAATGGGGACTCGAGATCAATACTAACAAAACAGAATATATATGTATCGGAGGAGAACAACAAGATCTAATACTAGAAGAAGGGAAGAAAATTAAGTGCTGCACAAAATACAAATATTTGGGTATGCAAATCACAAATGATGGACTGTTGCATACAGCAATTAAAGAACGAAACCAACTTGGAAGGAATGCTATCACGGTATTGAATGGGATACTGTGGGACAGCAGCATAAATAACAAGAACAAAACTCTAATATATAATACCATCATCAAGAGTATAACCACGTACAGCTGTGAAGTGTGGCCAATTAAGGCAACAACAAAACGAATGCTGGAAGCTACAGAGATGGATTTTTGGAG